GTTAACCTATATTCAGGTGGATAAGCAGTCAGACCAGAACACCTGAGAAGATGGTCTGCATTTCATATGCAGACATATATCTGCAAACCATCTAACCTATACACCTATGAAGAAAGTGAGACTCGGGCAAGTCTGTATTCCTTCCTTGAATTCTATCTTTCATATGAGACGAATGTTGTGTGTAATGTAACATTTCATATAAGTATCAAATGTGACATTTATAATAAGATCTGGTGCCAAGGATTCAATTTCACATACTGTAGCTTCAAGGCTCACATGCATATTCTGTCAAGAATCAAAACTGTAGGCTAATGTGACTAAGAAAACATTGTTCCTCAGCTATTCAGGGGCTGCAGTTGGAGTCCAAACCCCTACATAGCAGAAAGAGCTGTGGAAGGAGGGCAAGAAAATATATTTCTAAGAAATTTAATGAGGATTTTTTTTTTTTGCAAGGGAAATAAAGACATATATACTATCACAAAGTGCTGTGTTTTTAATTAATTAGTGTGACACCAATCAATAAAATACAGGAAATGCAGTATTGTTTTCTGGCTTTATCTCGCTGCATTACGAACAAAAAATTACGAAGCTTTGTTTTTGAGTTTCCTGGTGTAAGTTACTATTCAGTATTTAAATGTGGATATCCTCTAGTGCCCAATTACACTGTAACTCTTTTTACATGATGTTAAAAGAAATAAAAACTAAGCCAGCCTTTGTTTTAAGGAAGAGGAAGAGTTATGTGATATACTTTGGGAACAAGTTGTCTTGTTTTGATTTGCTTTAATTATTTTTCCTTTTATCAGCGGTTTGACAAAAATACAACTGGGTAAGTAATAAACAGTTCAATCATCTGTGCGTAGAAGGCAGGTGGAGTCTGAATGCTAAGTTTAATTCTGTCTGTCTTTACACTGCATTGAGGTCATCTTCTCTTGAAGTTCTTAGTAACACAGGGATCCTGACCTCAAATTTGTCAACAATTGCCCAGCTGTTATAATAACTGACACATATATGTTGTGTTTGTCTATATCTTCACGATGATTAAAAAAATGTGTTGTCTATTGGAAGGGAAGAACCGCGTTGCCCAGTGGGGCTTTCTTTTTTGATGTGCTGAGAATACAGTAAAGCTAATCGCTGAGGTCCAAGAACTTAGAAAAGAAGAAGGTAAAAGATAAAAGGCAAGGGGCAAAAGGAAGATAACAAAAGGCAAGGGCAAAGGGAAGGAGAAAGAGAAAAAAAAGAAAAAGGAAAAAAGGGGGCAGGGAGAAACAGAAAAGAAGAAGAAAAAAGCAAGGAGAAAAGGAAGGCATAACTGTAGTAAAGTTGGGATTGATGTGCAGAGAGAAGTATAACTGAAGCCTATGACGTATAAATGGCAGCATACCTATCTGGGTCTGGCTACATAACCTCTGACTAGGTAGATGAGCATTTTTCATTGTCAATAGCTGACTTAGATGCTGTAGATACAAGATTATGGAACAAGCTTAGAAATGAGGACCTACATCACACAATGGCATTTGCCCATCACTGTGTCATTTAGGTCAACAGTGTCTCGCATCAGGGGGTGAATGAGAGTTGAATATCATCTATTGACAGTCCTCCATGAGGAACAGGATGGGCAGAGTCCTTTACTTTTTTCTGTGGTTTAATTATGAAGAGACAAATTATACTTTTAAAGTGCTGCTCTTTACTGGAAGCTGTGGAGAACTAGGAGAATTGGCCTTCTCCCACAAGCCTGCAGGGATGCAGCATATCCCCCAGTGCCTGGGGCCAGTGAATAGGAGGAAAAGGGCAGAGCTTTTCCCTCATAACAAGCTCTCCCCATGGAAGGACTGTGTTCTGCAAAGATGCAAAGATCTGGGAAATAAGAATGTGTTCTCTCCTCCACGTCTTGTTTGCACACTGGAGCATCTGGATAGAATCTGCACATTGCCTTTGTAGCCATCAGTGTGCTCATCTGCAGATTTTAATGAGTATTGTTGCAATAGTTATTAAAAGAAAAAGTATTTTGAATTACTTACAGTGTGAAAAGTCCCGTCACTGATCATTAATGGCACCCAAATAAAAGGAGTGTGTTTATTTGTGATACGGGGACTGCTGAGGCAAACTGCAAGGCAAGAGCATGGAAGCTGATTTGCCATGGTGCAGGAGCTACTCCTCTCAGCAGTTTTGCTGCAGAGGACGTTGCTGTGTGAGGACGTTGCCTTCGGCTTGGCCACCTATTCCAGACTGCCTGTATCTTGCTGCCTCCATCTCCAGTCAAAGGGCAAAGCCCCTGCCTTTGATGCAACTGCATGTGCAATTGCTTCTTAATCTAATTTTGTTTTAACAGTATAGTTTTCTTGAACTGCAATCTTTTTTTGACAGAGATCTGCCATGGATCAACATATATAGTGATGTACTTCTATGCTTATGCAGACTGGGGGCTTAAAGAGGTTAGGAGAAAATTTGTTTCATAATGCATATTTCACTAAAGATGTTCTGATTCTTCTTGTTTTACAACAGCTCTGCAGCATGACTGGATGCACAGATGAGGCTGACCAGCGTTTTGAGACATACAGACAGTTCTTCCTGAGGTCATTCTCATGCCGATGCAACTTGCTGTTGTGTGTTAAGGTTGAGTTTGTTCCAGGTTAAATGAGCAGGGAGCTTGTGCTCAGCTTTCCTGCTATAATCAGGGAGGCTTAACAAATCTGTTCAATTCTCATTTCCTCGTGGACTAGAAACACAGGATTCAATCTGAAATTATGATTTTTATATTTAGGTATCTTGTGTGTACTTAGATGATTGTCCCTTCACCCAAAATAATGTGATTCTCCAAATTAATAGACATTTTCCAGGAAATTTGAAAAATATTTTCTTAATATATTTTGTACAGAGAGAATATTACTTACCCGTGAGGTAAGAGATTGTATTGTGGAGTTAATGCAGTTGCACAGATCATGTTTGACTGTATTTAAAAACCAAACAAACAAACAACAAAAAACCCCCACAAGAAAACATTCATGTTGTGTCATTCACTCCAAAGCCCTTTTATGAAAATAGGGAAGCACATCATGCAGTACCAGTAAAATAGGAGGAAGAGTTTCTGCAGAAAAAAAGCTGACCGTACTAGAATTACACAAAATGCAGATTCAATTCGACTACTAAAGTAGATTAATTTAGAGAGAGCACCAGCTAGCAAGCTTAACTGATGTGCATGATTAAACCACATCTGAATTACAAGATGCCAAGTCAATTTTTAACTTTCATTGTTTCAAAAAAACCTGAAGAACTTTAAGCAGTTAAAGAAGAGAGACTGTTTAGTTAATATAACTTTATAAATAATGAATAATTTTAAAAATGCTGTTCTGCTATAGATTATAGATATGTAATTGCTTTTTTTACTAATAAAAAGCTAAAATTGTCCAATTTGGGACTTATTTCATTATTTATTTATAACTGCTCCTCTGCAATATTGACTAATAAGGGGTTAGAAGTTATTTGTGCAGATAAGTTTTTGTTGTATATTCATACAGAATATCAGAAAATTTTACAATACTTAAAAAAAAAACCCAAACAAAAACCAGTTGTGAAGAGAGATCCCTGGTGCCTTTACAAATGTCAGGGGCTTTTTGAAAGCTAGTGTCCTCAGAGGGAACACATGCATCTCTAAGTCATCTACCTGAGAAAGAACTATGCTCCAGGTCCTCAATGGGAACTAGAAAAATAGCATAGTTTTTTTTCTACCTATACATCGTATACAAATAAAATTGACCCCACTACTAAAGTAGTAATAATTATTGCTGTGGATTAAACTCTTTTTTTTCAGGTATGTTTTAATACTCATTTTTAACCTTAGAGTGGAATTTTATTCTAGTAGATCACCAGGTAAACTTTAAATAAGTTTAAAAAGATAAGTTATTAAAATAATTTCTATGATTTCTTTAGCAACTCAATAGCATTTTGTGGTTGTTAAGGCAAAATTCATCCTTGTGCAGAAGATCAGGGAAAGGCTTATGCTTTACATTAGAGGGGTCTCTGATCTGCCACTGTCGAGGTTCTGAGATGGATATAAGTAATGCATAATGCTTGTAACAGTTCTCCTCAAATAGATAAGCTCTAATCCAGGGCTGAATTCTTTCCACTGAATACTGATTTGCTTACTTGTAGACATCCACAGGGCTTAAGAATAGCATCTATATTGAGGGTTTGATATGCTGTTACTAGATCTGCCATGCCTTTAGAAAGACACATTTTCACACCCTGTCTCCAAAAAGTAGAAATGTTTGTTCAAAAATGAGAATATTTAGAAAGTGACCTTGTGCGTCCAGCTGAAAGGAGCATTTCAGGAAAGAACTGGAGCAAAACTTATTCCAGGATTTAATGGGACTAACAACATTTTCACATGCATTTTGTCAGTACCTTTCAGGTAAATAAGGGATTGAATTCACTCCTTTCAGGGATACGCTGTGTATTTACATCAGTACATGTCAGCTGGTCTGAACTCATAAACAGTTCACACTTTAACAGATTGGTTAAGCTTCCTCATTTCCAATATTCAGATTTACATCTTGGCTTCTTCAGCTGAGAGGCAGTTAAACAAGAGTTCAAACACTGTCTTTTGCTGAGACTTCCTAGATGAGTAGTTGGGATGCAACCCTTCTCTCTACTGTCTCTACTTTTTTGTTATGTGTAGCAAAGATCTCATCCAGTTGCCTACTCCATAGGACTAGTTTCAAGCTCAGATACAGCCTTTTCCAAACCACTTGGTCATTTCATCCTCCAGGAGCCCACGATACATATAAGTGACCTGACTCAACAGAAGGTAGATCATGCTCAGGGCCAACATAACAAAAGAGGTTTAAGCAAAGCTAGACGGGCAGGTAGAAATGGAGTGGGAAGATGGTTTCTGACAGTTCAGCCAATGAGCAGTATCATCTGGAGCTGCTGTGACTACGCGGCATTTGAGCAGGTGCCTAAAACCCCTATAAACAGGCTAGTAAATCATAGCTTCATCTTACCCCCAACACTTGGCATCCTAGAAGACTCCTGATGACTACTGGATTTGTTGCGGTTCTGATTTTTCCTTTTATTGTTGGCTGCTCGGACAGAACGGAAAAGCACTTCACTTGCCTTGAAGAACGCAACCATGAATGGTTGCTTTGACTGAGGCCCATGTCTTCCAATCAGGCCAGCAGATTTAACATTGATACTTCGACCTATAAAGTAATGGAAATTGTAAGTTAAAAGGTGAACTTCTGCTTCTTCTGAAGCCATGGTGGGAGTTCAACTGCTGACTGAAGCATGGTGAGGATTTTGCCCATAATCCTGAATTTATGTGATTAAGAATCCTAACTGCATTTTGTTGAATGGAACTTAAAAGACAAAAAAAAATTCAACAATTTACAAAGGTTTCAACAGCTTTACAGGTAGTTTGCTATTGCATACAATTGCGGTCTCTGTGCGCTATGTATCTATCTTGTTCATTACACAGATATTTTAATTCAGTCTTATGTACACATCTATAGAACTGAAAAATAAATGAGCCCCATTAAACACTATAGGCTACAGAAAGGATAATGTAATGCCGTCATCTAATTTTTGCATCACTTGTGTGTGAGACGTGGAACCTTATATCCCCAAAGCAAATCGGTAACAAATAGAAGTGTAGATAATAAATATACTTCTGCTTTGAAAATAAATATTGTGCAGTGTTACTCAAACTGATGTTCATTCACTAGTAAAGGTAGGAAGGCATTCAAGTTCTTCAAGAGAACAGAGTTTGAAATATGTACGTTATTGACTCTGGTTCTGTTCCCAGGGGATGTGCATATTTCTTTAAAATATTTGTTCAGTCAGGACTGTGTGGTAACCTCACTATATTATAGGATCTAAACCTCACTAAAAGAAAAGAAAGCAAAACAAGTCACTGAAACTGCATCAGTGACATTTTAGCAAATAAACCCTTGCTCTTAACAGAATTTATTTTGGCAGCATAAACACTTTTGTGCATACGTGTATTATGCAGAGCCCTTCACCCGTCAGAAAATGAGACAGTGTCATGTGAAGCTGTGCAGCTGTGCTGGGTGGGGGACACAGAGGTCCTTTAAACACGAAGGTACAGGCACAGGCACCGCGCGCGCTGCGCGTCATCAGGGCGCCTGGGGATTCTCCTAAACCGACTGGAAAAGTTTGCTGCGCAAGCGACGAAGGAGCATCTGCCTCACAAATGTATACTACCTTTAACTCGATCATCCCGAAAAAAGAACTGCAAATAAGCATAGGAGTAAACCTTATAGAAATAAACATGTAGGTTTCCTTTTCAAACACAAACTTACAGTGGCTGTACGCCAGAGTCTATATTTCTTAGAAAAACTCTATCACTGGCGTAAATGAAAGAGGCAGTTTGATTTGTGGTTAAAGTAGTTTCCATTCTACTTCCACTGTAACAAATGTATTAATTCAGCTCAGACTTCCTCCTTCTGGCAGCCCTTTTGCAGTAAAAAGAGAAATTAGAAGTTCCAGCCAAATACCATACCTTGAACTGACCCACTTCAATACATAAACACTTTTACAACATGTTTATTCAGGTGTAGCACTTTAAATTGGTTTAAGATGTTTCCAGTGACAGAGAGCCCAGCAAAGGCAAAAGAAGAACTGAGAAAGTTAGCAGTTATGGAGCAGAGTAATTGGCAACATATTCTGAACAATTTTGATAATTACTTTTTTGACTGCAAGGGAAAACTATATTTGTTGAAGCTTCTGATTTCATTTTAAATGGCTTTTTAGTCTTGTATTTCTTTAATTCTTCTTTTCATGTATTTGAGTTACTATTAAATAATTCAGTAACATTAATTTCTATAAGTTCCAATCTCCTGTTGCAAGTCAGATATGAAAAACTGTACAGACTATTCTCTATTCATTGCAACATGGACAAGCTAGCCTCTTACCACAAAGTTCCAAGTTTCCCCTCATTTCTAGAGGGAATATTTTTACTATTTTTCTTTATTTTTTGTTCCAATGACTTTCAGAATTTTAATTTTATCTGTAAAAGATTAATACCTTACTGGCGGACATTTTAAGAATACTATTAGATTTATATACTGAGGGCTGTAAAGATGTGTGGAGGTTTTCTGAATTTAAATCTAGGTTCTCTGAATTTACAATGGTGGATATTGTGTGCGAAGCAAAATATCCTTCAAACCAATGTGAACTCCCTTTAAAATAACTTTTAATATTATTAAGTTTCCTCTGGGTTTCCTTTAGACTTCAGCAATGAGATGGCTATTAAGATTCCACAAGTTAAGGCTTACTCAGTTATTCAGGGTATAGAGATATACTATAAAAAATTAATCCTGTAACCCACAGCCTTTTTACACACAGAAACAGCTTATATGACTTTATTCCTTTATTTGCTTGATCTTTTAAGCAGCCAACCTGAGGTTTTAGGACCCATTTGTTCAATTCATGAATGGAATATGCACTGGATCTGCTTCTAGTGCAGTCAACAGGAAAACTTTTATTGACTTCTGTGGGTTCATCATTAAACTTTTCTCTCTTGGCTTATCGTATACCTTAGCTTAACTGCAACTTTCAGAAGACGAAGCAATCGAAATATATGCTGCCCTTGAGACTCTATATTTCTTCCAAGGAGGATCTCTGAACTATTTGGTTTGGAAATTCAAAACACATATGTTGTCTCCATTTTAAGTTGCTTCTGTGCAAAAGAAAGTTTGCATTTATAGAACTTCCATTATCCTTTATTAAAAGAAAAAAAAAAAAAAAAGTGTGCATGTAGGAGATTTCCTTCAGTCTAAGAACACAAAGCTTTGGCCCTTCCTGAACAGGAGGTATTTCAAAGTACCCTGCCGCTGAAATGCATCAAGCTTTCCGCCACAGAAATAGCTCCATCTGTGTGCCATGGTCTTGTTAGGTAGTCCTCACCTTCGTCCGTAGTGTGGATTTCAGAACGCAGTAAGAAAAATCTTCCCCTAAACTGAACTGGCCTTTGTAGGAAGCAACATTCATGGGCTTCATTTTTAGTAAGTGGTTTTAATCTATCATTTCTTCTAAGCATTTAGAAAACTCTTGGCTTCGATGAAAACCGAAAATCCAGGTCTCTCCAGCACGCAGTTGTTCCATATTGTGGTATTAGAGCAATATTTTCTAAAATCAGCTGAATGACTCAGGCTGACCTGCTTAACTACACCTTCCCTCAGAGCTTCACCCACATGAAACTGGTAAAACCAAACCAGCAAGGTGTGTCTCCGCTTCTCTTGAGCATCTCTGAACAAGAACTGAACATGGTCGAGCATTCTGAAAAATGCGTTTGGTTTTATCCTTCCAGCGTATCTTTAATTCTGAGGATTTCAAAGACTTTTCTTCAGACTTCAGAAGAAAAGAAGAAACTGCAAGAAACCAGCAGTCAGCTAGTGCCTGCTCCACTGAACCGAGCTGCTGCAATTGCCCCTACACCTAGAAAAAACAAATAAGCCTAACAGATGGACTTACTCCATGCAGGGGCAGTCCAGAGCCTTTGTATTCCTCACATTCTGGCATGTGCTTCTCAGTCCTGCTACGATGATTTATTATCTCTTCTCCATATTGACAGGTATATTTGGAGACAAAGACTTATTTAAAGTATTGTGTTCCAAATCTGCTGAACTCCTTAGTCCTTACTCATATGATTTTGAGTCTTTGGCATGATGCATCTGTTTGACTTGGCATTTAAACTGATTTTTGGCTTTTATTCTATTTGATAGTAAAGTGCCCTTAGCAGTTTGTATAAAAGCTTGTATGGAAGTGCCGATTTGACTGACTGAACTGAATGAATATTACTTGCCTTTTCACATTCTGTCCCCTTATAATAAAGGAATCGCTGCTGCAAAAATAACTGTGCAGTTCAGCTTATAAAAAGGTCCTACCTCGACAATCCAGATGCTTTTGTTTTTTTTTTTTTTTTTACCCACAAAATAGGAATAGCACTCAGGATGATAACTATGGAGCTATTTGCTGTGTCACTATATCTGCTTTTCTGCTGTCACATGCAGTCATATCATACAATTCTTTTCATGAACTGATCAAGTTCCATCTTAAAAGTTCATTTTCCCCCCAGCTGCTCCAAATGGAAATGCAAGAGCCCTTCAAGCTTTCATTAACAATCTGTGTCACAGTCCTGACCTGGAGACATCGTCTCATTTTTCATGACATTCGGAAAGCTGACTTTTTCTGAGATAGCCAGCGTGGATGCCAATGACAGTGGTAAGATTTGTGACTTGGCTGTCTCTCCTCAGGCAGTATATATTTTATGTAAGGCATTGAGCAGACACTAATTTTGCAAGAGCTTTCAGCCATTATGCATCTGGGCCAGATTTACACTGGCAACACAGGACAATGAGTGATTCCAAGATCCATTATTTTGTCCTGAGTCATCGAACTGCAGCAAACCACTCATTTTGTTATGAAAAACAAGCACTTACTTACTTTCAAAAATGTTCAACAAACCACAAAACACATTTTACAGATTAACCACTACTGCTAGGTCACAGTAGTTATTTTGGTAATAATTTTATATATTTGTAGATAGAAATGAAAACTTTAGTGATGCTGAGAATTCATTTCTGGTTTGCTGAAAAAAAAATTTCCAGTGCCACACCTATGGTTTCCTCCTCATGGGGAGTGATATCTGAAATGAGGATTCTCCTTTTGGAGAAAGACCCTGACTATACAAGGTCCAATAACATCTAGTATTTGAGCAAAAACTGTCCTCAGGCTCTGAGTCTGAAAGCTCACAAAGTAGTTTTCAAAATTAGACAGACACTTGTGTGGTTTGTCATGCCTGAACACTGCTCTTGAGAGCAACAGTACTTCATAGAAACAAAAGAATTGAGGTAGAGTTTAACTACCAAAGCTTAATGGAAGGCTTATTTTAAAAAAGGACCGGAGAAAACCTAACATCACAAATGCGATGGTCCATATATGGCACCCTCAACACTCCAACTCAAAGGATTTTATACTGTCTCTACTGTGTCATCTACATAAACTGTTATGCAAACTTTCACTTTGGTGGAAAAATTTATATATATATCTCAACATAAAATATGCTTTTGAAACAAGCTTCATGTGTTTTGTTAACTATTCTGCTCCCTGGGGGCTTTAAGGAATTCTTAAAAATGGGTGGTCTTGGATGCTCTGCTCTGCATTTCCTAGGCTTTACAGC